TGACTGTCTTGCCTCTTTTACTTAATGAGATTACACAAAGAGATGATATTTGGGCTTGTTGGCCAGCCAAGCCATGGTACCATTCATTTAGCTTCAATATGCTTATACAAGGACCAAAAAGTGGGATACAACTGCCCCCTCCCTTCCCTCCTTCCCCCCCTCCCCAAAAAAAAACCAGCAGGCAAAAAAAAAAAGCCAAAAAAAAAAACAACAACAACAACAAAAACTAGGAACAGGTACCCCTGACCAAGGTACAATTTAGTCGTACCACTTAGGGTGTTAGGATATCCTTTGTTAAAAACATGGTAGGCAAAAAAAAATTACTTATTTCTTAGGGAAGGATATGAGTACTTTTGAAATTAAATCCGAGAGTCAACATGCTATTATTTTAAAAAAATTTAAACCACATTTTGTCTAGATAAGAGTGCTAAAACCAAAAAGAGAGATGGTGGTACACCTGACAAGATGAGTTCACCAATTGGTTCTGCTGTGCACATTCCCGATGAATTATGCACAGGACCATCTGTTGGGATGGTCATAAGTGGAGATGATGTTGATTCTCTTGCAATCAATGTAGATGAATTAAAAAAGGTAAAAGCAAGCTGTTTCAAAATTAAGAGAAAAATTAATTTTAAGACTCCAAAGTGACTGATCACTGCATCAAACCTGTAACCTGGTTCTTCCTCTTGGCAGCTTGTAAGCTTTTTCCTGCTGAATTGGTAGTTTCTCTGGCTGATTTACTCAGTTACTGAGATTCTTCCTTTCAATTGTCATTTAAAGTGTATTTTCATCCATGCAAACAGTTTTCAACGGTTATCCTTTCTAACTGCCTATTCATATTACAATTCTGGCTGTGACTCTGACAATGTTATAATGTTAAAAGGTTGTCTTACATTTTAAGTTATGTCACAATTGAAAGTGTGCAGTTATGCAAACAAAGAAAAGGCAGGGTATATTAGACTTTCACTATCTGTTCAAACTAGTTTGAGCTCATAAAGACTTGAATGTCCATGTTACATTTGGATGCTCCTGACCAGTAGTTTGTAGTTAAGTACACTTTCAAGTTGTGTGGCAAAATAATCACAAGTTTTGTCCCCAAAAGTGAACACAGTAGTATTATTCTCATTGTAAATTAAACTGACTCTTGGAATTGTAATTTGTGTGGATGTGTAATAGTAACGAGCGCTATGACAATGGACAACTACATTTGATCAAGCAGAAACCAAAGAACTGATTTAATGCCAAGATCATCAACCTATATACAGAGGTATAATTATTCTATCTCATACTCTAGGTGATAGGGGTATTTGATAATGCATGATAATATGCACAATCATTCGTCGCAGTAATTGTTTGCAGGTGCAATCTGTATTGATGTAATCTCTTTAATAATTATATAAATGTATGTTGTGGAACATTTGAAGGATTGAATGGTCATTTTGGAAATAACAGGTCCATCCTCCCAAAAGACCAGCAGTCCCAAAACCATCAAGAACTCTTGTGGTGCGAAAGACACGACTCAAGCCCTCTGTGGAGCAGAACCAACCTGTGGGAAAGAGGTACAAATTGTGTTAGCAGTTCTATTGGCATGAAAAAGAAAAGAAAAAAATTGAGCTAAAAACTTTTTCAAGATCTGATTGAGGTATAGAAGGACTTGCTGGGAAAAATGAAGACGAGTCATTTAAAATGTCATGGTTGAAATGACATACAGTGTTTAAATTCTCTGAATAACAGATACAATAATATTACTGCATATTATTTGTATAAATGTCTTGTATCTGTTATTCAGAGAATTTAAACACTGTATGTCATTTCAACCATGACATTTTACATGACTCGTCATGTTCTGGACATCAAGGATATCAGCAAAGATACAATTCATTTTGAAAGGTGAGGGGAACATACTCATCCTCATATATAATGTGCAGCAGATTTTTAAATTTCAGAGTTAAAGGAGCTCTTTCTGATGATGCATGATGTATATTCTTCTTCATTCCTAAACTTTTTTCTTTATTTACAGTATGATTGTTGCACGACCAGCTCCTCCAGATGCACCTTTAGTATCTACTCCCCTTATTGGTAAGGCAAGACCTAAATGTCCATAACAGAAATATTGACTTTAATTAATTTATTATGAACATTTTTAAATATTTTATTGCATTTTCAAGCAGGTTGACATTTATTAAGAAAAAAATATATGATACGTTTTGATTGCAGAACTTCCTAAGGATACTTAATTGAATGTAATAAATATAAACCTTTAAGTTCCCTTTAAACTCTTTTACCTGTGGTGCACTAGAATGCATGTCACTAAGCCAGAATGTTCACTTTGTCAACATCTCCCTTACTTTTTTCCATAGTTAGCCAATAGTTTTGTCTTCATTGATTTTAGGTACTATTATGAATTTCAAATTATATAATCTTAAGTTTGTATTTTTGTCAAATAAGGTACAACTGGTCCTGTTTTTGATGAGGATGGACAAGTTTTGACACACACCATACTTGGATCTTGGGAAGACTTTCAACAGGAAGCTATTAAGAGAGGAGACATTGAGGTTAATGTTACTTCATAACAAGCAATTACTGTCAGTATGATTACTTTTTCTGTATATATAAAATGTAACGCAAGTGTAACAGCAACCTCTGAATGACTTACTTCACTTCTGGGCTGAAATATAAACCTCTGTTTTGTACTATAATTATTATAATTTCATTCCATTGCTTAAAAAAATTAATATGAACTTTCTAAAGGATATTTTTGGCTTACAAGAATTCCTTTTTAAGTAAATACACAATGATTTAGACCACAGTTTAGCTCTTGTGAATATGTTATTTCATGGTAAATGCAATGGTAAATTAATTATGAACACTTCAGCAGAATAGTATTTTTTTCATCTTTCAGAATCTACCTCCTTTCTCTGGACACAAGGTATTGGTTTGTGATATTCACTGTTATCCTCTATGTTTAAGATATGTCTGACTCATTGAAAGCAACTTATATTTAGCTCTGGATCATGCCAGGTGTCATGAAGAAATATTTATTCTAGTGAGAATAAAGAATTGATAAAAGTTTAAAAACCAGTGTTGGACCTATCCAGATATTTCCACCCGAGATTGTTCTGCAATGTAACTTTGGTCTCCTCTTAGTAATACCGGGTGTATCGATCCTCTCAATGTTCATGCTGCTAAGTCAATTTTAATGCTCTCATGAC